TACTGCAGTCTTTTTTAAAGTTTTGTAAAATATTTGATAGCAGCGTACATAATACAATACTTGTTATAAGAGAGTATGAGAGCAAACACACACACACGCGGGTGCGCGCAAACACACACACACACACACACGCGGGTGCGCGCAAACACACACACACACACACACACACACGGGCGCGCGCGCGCAAACACACACACACACGCGGGCGCGCGCGCGCACAAACACACACACACACGGGCGCGCGCGCGCAAACACACACACACACGGGCGCGCGCGCGCAAACACAAACATACGCGTGTGTGGAGTTGAAGGAGAAGCAATGGCGGGATTTACACGAAATACAGCTACAACGGCTGTAGCGAACAAGTGTGAACCACCGATTATATTAATAAACACTACACTCCTTCCTTTTTGCAAGTTACAAAAGCGATACACTACGATGGATCCGGCTAGTCTTTAAATAACGTGGCCTTTTTAAATTTTTACAACGGTTCATTACAGTCTTTGAAAATTGCACTTTTACCGGAGTGCCGCACATGGACTATCCTACGAGTGCATCACTAATACTAAAACTATTGTCAATCAGAATAACACTGGAATGACTTTAAACGAAAAAAATCTACAGTTAAAATGGTTTCAAATGCTGGTACGAATCTTGAGCGTGCCGACCCAAAAATCACATATATTCCATATCTCCTAACAGAAAATGTTCCTCACACACATGTTCACTGACACTCTGCTGAAATTACATCACTCAATACAATAGAACGACACCAAAATCCGCAATTATCGCGAATTTCGTCGGACAGGCATGGAGAAGCAGACCTTGGGAGCAGTTCTTTGTCCCTGTCTCTCTCTCTCTCTGTGTGGCTCTCTGTCTCGCGCCTCCTGTCTTGTTCTCAGCCTCGCCCTGCGTCACACGGTAACGCCCAGCAACAATGAAGCCCAGGTGGAACTCAGTTTGAATGGAAATTGAATTAAAATTAAGGGCTCGTTTGTGCTGCGGTGACATTTAGTAGAGTTAAAACAAAATTAACAGCACAAATCCTGCGTGAAAAAACATATAGGTGTGCTACCTTTCATGGAGATCGGGCACACTGTTTTTCCGTACCACTGCTGCCCTCTGGCAGAATAAGGAATCTGTCTCTTAGCGATTGGCGAAAAATAATGATCTTGGTGCATCTATCAGCATCTTATTTAAATTATTTATTTTCTGCATTTATGTTGTATTAATCTTTACCAAACTTTGGAAGGACACTGCGTCCAATCATGTGTCTGTAAATATTTCGCATCTACTCATACACTCCTTTTTGTGGAATCGATGTCTTATTACATGACGTTCAATTCACTATTATTAGTAAAGATGCAGGGTATTCACGAACGTATCCGATGAGCTTTTAACCTTATAATACTTTGCATAGAGAAAGTATTATAATAATAATAATAATAATAATAATAATAATAATAATAATAATAATAATAATAATAATAATACTTTATTGCACCGAAAAATGTACAACGGCGAGTCTCAGTTGCTCCTTTTCAGAATAATTAAGTTAATAAATATTACTACTGCGGCAGGTTTCAGAACGTAGTTGCCAGCGTTGCGTTAAAGCACCAATGGACGGTTGGCATGTACATTTTACAATGCAGTAACACTGATAGTACTCGCAAACAAATGCAAATAGATCGAAAAACAATTATTAAACACTAGAGTATTGTAATATTCTCCATATAGGCTCATTTTAAAACGAATTACACGTTACTCCTTGTCTGAACATGCAATGATAAATGCTCTGTATGTTTTCACACATCAGAAAATTCCCTCAAATTGTATTTACTACTGCTACTGCATTCAGAATTCAACATGTAAATGTGTTAGGGTTGGTATACCAGGATTTACGAAAATGTTCACTGAATACATTTCTCCTCATAATATGCCCCCCTCGGTTTTTTCTGTATTTGACGTTAAAAATATCAACAACTGTTGCAATGTTGAACAAAGAGAAGACTTCCAATAGAATTTCATTTTCTTATATTGTTGTCGTTCAATAATGAACTTCTGAAATATTTATTATGTTTCCCAAGACAGTGTATTGAGGAATATAAAATTAAAATGTAAACGTTAATGGTATACATTTTTTTATGTAAAGTATTAGCAATAATACTTTCCAAACACTATAATACTAATTCAATGCCAACCAATTCAAAGGAAGCGCTAGTATTGGATACATTAATTTATTTCGATGGCCAGAAACAGTAGTCATTCTAACTTTCAGAAATTAAACCTACTATAATCAGCGATCAACATTTCTTGAAGTAATTTGTTCTAAGTTAAATTTATTACCTGACATCCATTTTCTTTTATTTTATAAGAATAGCAATAGCTTTCTAAGACTTCTCAACTATATTCACGAACCAAAGTAAATTTTGAGCGAGCCACTTTGTAGTCTCATTTCCCAAAAAATACTGTTTTCAAAAAATTCAGCATGTCCTTTTTGTTTTTATGAACACCTTCTTTAAGGAAAAAATGAATCTTCATAACTGTAGTTACAGAGAGTCGCCGAGCAAAATTTTTTTTTTTTTTTCAATTTCGAAAAATAGGGTTTTTAACAATAACGGGACCTAAACCTTTCTATTAATGCCTTTCTATCCACCAACATCCACCGATCCACCAACAAAATTTAATCAAAATCAATAGCGGCATATTCGAGAGAAAAAAATTGTTTAAAAAAAATTAAATTGCCTATATTTCACGCAAAATTATGCAAAAAACGCATTTTCAAAAAATTGTACATGACCTTATTTCAAAAAGATGTTTTTGAAACGATCTAACTGTACGGCATGGCAAACAGTGACACAATCACTTTTAATCGAGTGTGATAAAGGATTAATTTAAACCATGTATTCGTAGGCTTCTGCGGCTGGAGTCATTGGATATTTGGCTGTCCGGGATGGGAGGCATCTCAGTCGATCGAGCTGAAGCTCAGCAGTACTGCTCTGAAGAAGGCCACAACACGATGGCCGAAACGTCAGCTCGATCGTCTGAGATGCTGCTCATCCCGGACAGCTAAGTATCTGTTGTGTACCTCATTCCGACAGTCTAGGCGTGAGGAAATCATTTTAAGTTCTTGCTGTGAAACCTATCCTGCTGCATTGTACGAAATTCGACAATTCGCATTGTACGAGATGGCAGTCGACGAAGACAAACTATGTGACCAAAAGTATCCGTACACGTGGCTGAAAATGACTTACTAGTTCGGGACGTCCTCTATCGGTAATGCTGGAATTCAATAGTGTGTTGGCCCACCCTTAGCCTTGATGACAGCTTCCACTTTCGCAGGTATACTTTCAATCAGGTGCTAGAAGGTTCTTCGGGAATGTCAGCCATTCTACACAGAGTGCTGCACTGAGGAGAGGTATCGATGTAGGTCGGTGAGGCCTGGCACGAAGTCGGCGTTCCAAAACATCCCAAAGGTGTTCGAAAGGATGTAATTCAGGAGTGTGTAGGCCAGTTCATTACAAGGATGTTACTGTCGTTTAACCGCTCCGCCACACGCCGTGCAGTTTGAACAGGTGCTCTATCGTGTTGAAATATGCAATCGCCATCCCCGAATTGCTTGACATAGGGAAGCAAGAAGGTGATTAAAACATAATGTAGTTTGTGCTGTGGTAGTGAGACACAAAACAACAAAGGAGTGCAAGCCCCCGCCATGAAAAACACGACCACGCCATAACACCATTTTAGATGTGCCCGGATACTTTTGATCACGTACTATAGCCTGAGCAACACCTTGCGGGAGGTGCTCGGCGATGACGATTCCGCGCTGTCAAAACTTTTTGTTTTTTGAGAGAAGATGAAAAATATAATTTTATTTTAGAGACAATGATATTGACTGTGTGGTTGTTTTTTGACCTTTTACAAACCAGCTATACATTTATTATTAATATTTTTGTTTGTTTTATTGACCTGACCTTTTGAAGTGCACTTGTATATTTTATATTTTATGCGGAATTATGCCCTTTTGTAGGCAATGTACACACTTTTAATCAGCGGATAAGTTGCTTTTGCAACATCTCCTTTCATTCATCTGTTAAAAAAAAAGGAATTTTGACATGGAAACGCTCTCTAAACCTCAATCAATCATTTGGAGAAAATGAGCTGATCGGTTTAGGTGCTATTTTTGTTGACAGACAGACGTTTTGCCATCAATCGACTTTCGGTATCAAGGACCCACAAAACATGGATTATAGCTACACTACGTACTATACGATTTTGTTTCTAAATAACTTTCTACTACGTAAGCGGTAGCCAGAAAGTAAAAATTACTTAAATCAGAGAAAATAAAATAAAGAATTCTAATTTGAAGATTTTTAACTTATGAAGCAGATATGTGAAATTGTTTTGAAATATAAATGAATATCAATGAAAAGTGAATTATTTGCCGTTATAAAAATCATTAAAAACTAACAAGTGAATGCAACTTCAAATAAAAGTGACGCAAATACAATTGAGAAGGTATTCGTCAGAGAATCTCGAGATTTATTTTACATAAAGTTCTTTAGAAAGTAACTAGTGGTGAATGGCATAAACTTGCTAGTGCTAGTTTTCTATATAAATATAAATATAAAAAAATAATGAGTGTTGTGAGACAAAATTTGTTTCTTCTAAGCATCTTCGTGTTCGTTGTTCAAATTACTTTACTGGAGTTTTCATATATTAGAGATAATGGTGCTAATAACGTAAGGCTAAAAACCAGTAAAATTGAAATGTGTATGTAATTTGCGCAATAAAACCTGTGAAATCGGTAGGGGGAAGAAACTTTAAATTCCTCTAAGCCATATCGCTGACCTCCCTGTTTGCTTGTTTTTAGTTGGCATTATACAGAAGGAAGTGTTAGCTTTGTATTTTGACAATATTTTAATTACGATTTGTATATTAAAATGTAATCTTTACACTCTGATTATTGTTTTTCTTTTACCGTTTTATATTTTTGCAGGGCTTGATTTGCCAGATGGTGGACATCTTACCCATGGTTTTATGACAGCTAATAAAAAAATATCAGCCACATCCATATTTTTTGAATCAATGCCTTATAAAGTAGATTCAGTTACCGGTTTGATTGATTATGAAAAATTGGCTGAAACTGCAAAGTTGTTCAAACCAAAAGTTATTGTTGCAGGTATGTTTTCACATGAACTTTACTTATTTTAGATAGTTGTTTATGTTCTTGGCCTTTTAATGTAAATATATGTGTGTGAAAATTATTGAGAAATTGTTTACAGACTTAATTGAAAGTTTTGTTAGGTTACTAGTTAAATTTGTGATTTAATGTTACTGTATCTATTAAATTTGTTGCATCTTCATTGACGCAACGCGTCTCTGAACTCTTGTTTGGGCGTTGAGCGCTTAATGGGGTAATACTCAGTTATTAGTTTTGTCAAGTCTCGTCACGCCTCAGTCAGTCAGTGCCTTTTATCCCTTCGACCAGGGGGCTATGGTTTTTAGTTGTGTAAAATTTACGTATTTTACATCTTAATCAAAGTTTACTATATTTTATGTGGCAGGAATGAGTTGCTATTCCCGTTGCCTGGATTACAAGAGATTTCGTAGTATTGCAGATGAAAATGGAGCTTATTTATTTTCGGACATGGCTCACATATCAGGTTTGGTTGCAGCAGGACTCATTCCTAGTCCTTTTGAATATAGTGATGTGGTATCAACAACGACCCATAAAACTCTGCGAGGCCCAAGAGCTGGAGTAATTTTTTTCAGGAAAGGTATGGTAAATTCTCTAAGAATATTTTAATATTTTTCATTTTGTATTATTAAAATTGATGTTCAATGTTTATCATTTTCTGAGTCTATATTCGTCAGTTCCTGCAGCACAACTGATCCAATATTTTTGTTTTTATTATTTATATTATTGTTTACGATTGTGGCCGATGTTAAGGCATCTAAATAGAATGATAAGAGTTGAGAGAGCATAGATCTAAAATCATGTGAAAAAACTTAGTGTGTAAAAGCGAGATTTGATTTTGTAACTGCACTGAATGTAGACAGCATTTCAATACAAAAAGAAATGTCAGCACGGGAAATGATTAAAATATTGCCACAAGCTCTAAAATCTTTCAGAATAGCTTAGATATCGCGTGTCCAGTGATCATTTACTATTAGAGTTATAACATGCGGGGTAGCCATGCTCTACGCTGACCTACTTCGCATGGCAAAGCTGAATAGCACAATAAATTCTTCACTGTGACCCTGACTTCTAATAACTCACTAGAATTTATAACTGCTGATGGGGAGATACTGTTTATTACTGAGGAAAATACAGTTTACAATGTTGAATCGACAGGGTTTTAATTGCATTAAAGTTAGTTTTGAGAAAAATTAGTTTAAAGTTTTCTCATATTACAACAGTTTTTTTATAGTTAAATTTCAACAAGGTTTAATAATTACACTGAAAAGCTTTTAAGAAGAGGTTCCATAGTATATTTGGTAAAAAGTATATTTTACACCTGTGTTTGAAAATGTCAAAATGCAGTTGAATCTTGTTCAAAACAGAAAGGGCTGTCGGGAAACGGGCATATTTGTAATTTTGTCGATGTAACACTTTTATTGCATACATTACAGAGATATGACCCAAAGATGTAACTCAACTTCAAATATAATTATAATAATGAAGTAATGTTTTAATGTAATAAATTAAATGGATATCTAGTTTTATAATAGTTTATGCAATTAGTTTATAATGTTAAGCTTTATTGCACGAGTACATGTTTTGAAAACGAGCGACTTTTCGAATTTGTGCGAATGCAATAAAGCCACATTATAAGAGATTTGCATGCGCTATTGTTTTGTATAACATAATTTTAAATTTGTAAGAGAATCAAAAGTAAATTTGCGTAACAACTTTATGACGTCTCGGGTATTTGAATCTGTGGGAAAAAATGTGGTCGCTCTTCCATTTACCGCTTTTTTCCCACTATTCTTTTGCTGTGATTTGCAGAGAATAGCAATTGACTTGCAATAACTCGTGCCATAAAATGCTAGTACGTCATCATTTATGCCGGAAAATGCAGTTTTATAAACGATTTCTTGCAACAGAAGAGGTTTATAATTATAGTATACAAAAAAGTAATGTATTATAACATACTCTGTTGTGGACATGAAGGGAAATGCTTTCGTTACAGCCTACCTTGATTTTTGATCAATTATTACTTCTGCAATGTTTTGAATTTTCGGTGTTATTTGAAATGCATTCAAACTCCAGTTCGGTGAGATCTTTTTCTGCTTGATACTGTAACGTTTCTCGGTAGTGAATTAAAACACACTCGGGTAGTATTTAACAAAGTTTATTCGTAAACAATTATACACTAAAATTACTTGATCTATTTACAAATATAGCCTTTGTGTTCTCCACTTGATTATTTTCCATACACACACCTCATTTCTCTTGATTATTTATTTACACAGTTTACTCCTTGACAGTCGCAGTCCGAAGCACTGTCCACGGTCTACTGCGCAGACCACAATTGACGGGGCAGACCAGGATCCACTGCACTCCTGTTTACCACGATGTACACTTAAGAGCTCAGCTTCCACTGCAGATTTCAAACTGCTGACTGCTGTTCACCTACTGCATCACTGTTTAACGCGATGCACACTTCACAGCTCAGCTTCCATTTCAGACTGCTGACTGCTGTTCACCGCAATGCACACTTTACAGCACAGCTTCCACTTCAGACACAATGACGGACTGACTGCTTATTCACTGATTACATACACTAACTGATTCGCGGCTGCTTACTTTTAACTACTACTTACACTGACATACTTACACACACTGACTCGCGGCCGCCGGCAGCGGCGCATTTATACCTGACCGGCGCTCGTCTCGACAATACCAGCACTTGCTCCACCTTTACACGCGACTCCCGAATAGTCGTGAACCGTCCAGTTCATGGGAGGGGGGGGGGCGCCGGCAGATGACGCAATCCGCGCGCAGCGAATTCCGGCAGGTGATGCAATATTGGTTACAATAATTTTTTTCATGTCCCTCACATGCAAATGGACAAACTTCATTTTTGCTGGTTTATATTTGTCATGTAATATTTCGTAAGTCATCGTGTGCAGTGTTCTGATAAATTTCATAAAAGACACACTAGCAAATGGCATTACCTTAGAAGTATTGCTATTCCTTGAACATCTGTATGACCCAGTATGGCTTTCGTGGACTGGCTTGTTTTAAAATTCTAATTACACTAATCGGAGAATAACACTCAGTTTTATTCATAGCTTTCTCAACTTTCTTTTCTTAATTGTGAACACCGTAGGTGTGCGTACTGTGGCGGGGGTGACCTCGGAACATGTTTAATGGAAAAGGGCCCCAGATATGTAGTTGGCCTCCTTTTGTTTTTGGCTGCATACGCCTGTGGTGTACTCACACTTCTTTAAACACCTGAATGTTACGGACTACTTCATTGTAATTGATATATCTTGAGGCTTTTCATTGAGAAAAGGGAGAAGTTTGAAATAATTGAATTTCGATTTTGGAGAACACAGGAAATTCACTTATCTAGGACATTTTCCTCTGCTAGAACAGTCAGTATTTTGTGAAAAGCTGCAGTAATATCATTACCACATGGCTGCTGAATCATTTTCACCCCACAAGGCCCAATATACTCGTTTGGGGTGTAGTAATCAGTCAAGTTGTACACTTTTAATTTTGTTAGGTAAAAAGGAAAACTAATATTTGCACGTGGAGACAGTATTATGTTTTCTCAATATAATAATAATAATAATAATAATAATAATAATAATAATAATCTTCGTCATCCTTTTCAGTATCACTAATTCCCCACATGTTCATATTTGGAGTTTGGCGAACATATTTCAATTCCATTTGTCAGTGTTTGTGTTTGTATTTCTCCCAAATGTCACATTATTGCATTTCGGGGAATGAAGTCCAAACCTGACTTCGCGTACTGTAAGTAAATCTGTCGTACATAGCTTTTTAACATTTTTTAGTGCACAGTTTTGAAGGTACAATTTGTGCACCATTTCCTATAGATGTGTAACGTTTCTCCGTGGTGAATTAAAACCAACCCAATATTTAAACAATTACGTTTATTCGTGAACAATTATACACTAAAATCTACTTGGTCTATTTACAGATATATTACACTTAATTATTTTTCTTTACACACGACTCCGTTCTCTTGATGATTTATTTACACAGTTCACTTCTTACACACTATTTATTTATACTGTTCTCTTCTTCTGCAGTATCACCCAGTCCGATGCTCTGTCCACGGTCCAATGCACTGACCCAATTCCCTGCGCAGACCACAATTCCCTGCGCACACCAGGGTCCACTGTACTGCTGCTTACCACGATGCACCCTTCACAGCACAGCTTCCACTTCGGACACACTGACGGACTGACTGCTTCTCTGCTTCTCACCGACGTCTTACTACCCACTGACTTCTACTCACGTCTGACTCGCGGCCGCCGGCAGCGGCGCATTTATACCTGCCCGGCGCTTGTTTCCAGGCACCCGGCACATTCTGGGCGTTTCCCCGCGGCTCGCGGATAGTCCGGAACCGTCTAGTTCGGGGGGGGGGGAGAGAGAGGCGCCGGCAGATGACGCAATCCACGCGCAGCGAATTCGGCAAGTTTAGCAATATTCGTAACAGATGGAAATATAACATTTTGGTATATGCTTTACAGTAATGGGAATGTGCTATGGGGAATGCTTTGTGTGTTCTTTCCAAAGCTAGATTTCCCGTAGGTACTCATCTACTGTTATAATTTTTTCGTCTTTCGCGTGCTCTTAACTGAATAGTGAACACTGGATTTTGTGAAATAATGTTGGTAAGTGGAAAGGCTTGCATACCTGTATTTTCTCTACCCTTCACAAAAAAGAAGCTTAATGACAACTTTCTTCTTGATATAATTTTCTCATTTCGCTTAATATTCCATTCCAGTGGCGGCTCTTGCTTTGTTTGCTCGGTTGCGTAACATTCAATAATAGTAATAATAATAATAATAATAATAAATCGTATATGTTAGGATTATTTATTTTTCCTGTAATGATATTCCATAATCAAGATATTACAGCAAAATCAAAGTATATGGAACCGTTCTGAAATCAAAGAGCACCGACGAGCGCCTTCCCGCCGACTCGTGCGCTTCCAGGTAGTGCACCATGTCACGTTCGTGAGCTCTTTTCCAGCATTAACTCTTTGGCCGCATCGCCATGCTTCAACATAGGACCCTCATTGTTTTCGCACAATGCAAAAACGAGCCATCGACACCGGAGGGATCTGACCGCAGATCACGGAGGGCTGGCTCTGCGTCTGAGCGGAAAACCAATTTTCTGTCTTCACCTGAAACTAGTTGCAAACTAATCTTATGAATTTCGCTTGTTATTGAAAATGTACACAAGTTCCAACACTTGAATACCACCGTGGAAGAACATTGGATGTGACAACTTTATCAAAAAGGAGATTACGATGGAAAATCGTATGTTTGTCTAAAATACTATAATTAAAATATGTAATGAATATTTATAATAATATGTATTAAATTATTATTTATTATAATAATTATAAAAACAATAAATAAAGCAAACATTCCATTTCAAATATTTCTTCAAATAAAATTTAATTTATTTATAAAAATATTGTTCATTGCGTTCCCAATTCAATAGGAAATATTTGCTTACTCAAAAGAATCATTTATAACATCCATGGGGGAAAATGTATTGATTGAA